TCAACAAACGGATTTTAAACACAATATACCAAACAAGATTATAGTGCGCGTCATATCCGACAATGTGTACTATCTTAAACTACCACATATCATATTAATTCCAGTATGATATTTTTACAAGAATGAACAATCTACTAATGTTCTTCATTGACGAATGTATAATTTTGAAAGCGAAGTAAGCTAAAATGGAATTTAATAAGACTAGATCATTCGACATCGATCGACATCATGATGGCTCTCTTATTTATTTATGTGCTGTGAGAACATTTGATAGAGAAAATTACAGATTGTACATGTATCCCGATTAGCACCTGACATGGAGAAAATAAAATGAATTACTGCTAGCTTTTGTTCTTTTGCTTCTAGAGCAATATCTATGCAGCACTCTTTGTTTGACATGTGCAAGTGAAAGGTTGCAGAGTTCACTCATCAGATTTTTTTTCTTTATAAATTGTTTATAATCAACTGACCTTCATTTTTTATGTGTGCTACTCAAATGAGAATAGCTGAAATGAACTGAGTTAAAAAAACAGCGTAATAGGATGATGTGGCTCCTATGAATTCGTATGGCGTCCGTGAAAGTGATAGAGCTCCTCAACATAAACTCAAAGAACTAATGCCAGACTATCTGAATACTTTTCAATCATCATTCACAGAAGAATAAGGCATATCGTCTCAGTCTTTTAGTTAATTAATTTAGTAGCCGCATCTATCGTTGAATTCTCACCATCATTTATCGTCTAACATTGAGCTTACAAGACTTTATGGTAAACATGGTACTATAACCATTGTATGAATTCAAATATTTGATCTTGAACGTCAGGAAGTATGAAAATGCCACTTTGGTGACACATACGCATCATGACAGCTGTTATCGTTCATTTTTTTTGAATAAATGCTACTACCACCAATCTTAGCATTCTGTTTTTGATACAATGATTAATAAAGCATGAATGCATGATAAATCTTGCTGCATTATGTTCCGTACACTCATGTTGTCAAAGCATTGACGTATGGTTGTCTATAATGCATCAGTTTTTCGCATGTGCAAAAGCTTGCTGTCATTTATAAGTGAACTGTCGCAACATAAAACAGACATCTTAGTATAGGGCAGATTTTTCCTATCAATCTATCTGTTCGTTATCTTCAAAGTAGGCATCGAAAGATTTAATGACAATTCGTGAGAGAAATCTGATAAAGCTCTCTGAAATCATATATTTTACATGCAAGTTATTTGTCGTATTGACGATATACTTGTTTACTGTAGAAGTGATTGGACAAGAAACTATTTCGACAACAAACTCTAATAGATTTCTAGAAACACAATAGCTAACTCGTCGTACAATGTCAAACAATGCAACAGCAAGCGTCTATCAATCAACTACTCTGTTCAATCTCGTTGCATATCATGCTTTCACTCTGATCATTGCTTATACTATATTCAATTCTCTTACTTTTATCGTTATCTGTCGGAAAAGTTTCGAGATGACAACGAAAGATCGACACTGCACTATATGCGTACAATAGCGATTTGGACATTCTCATGCTATATGAATGGAGTTTTGATCACTACACGTTGACGGTACAGGGATTTGAGCTGACCAGATACATGATTGCTTCGTGTAAATATTTGCTTGGTTTTTCAACTATTTCACTGCACAAACATCGGCCTGACTACAAGTATTTATCAGTCTCAATCGGTACTTATCAGGGAGTCATCTTCACCGAACATGGTTTGACTATTCGAAAAATGCTCTCATCATAATCTTTGATTGCTTCTATGATGCAGATGGCAATTTTAATATAAATACTCATTTTTACACCATCTCTCCTCTTTGGGATTTTGCCAATCTAGCTATGTACAATACTGGACCATTTATACTGATGGTCATATTCCATAGTAGTGTTATCTATCATTTGTTTCGTTCACGTCGTACAAGTACAATTCAAAACACACGTATTCAGCATCTAGACGACATATCCTGTACATTTGTTATTACAACATTTCTCTTTGTGTTCATGATCATATTAGCTATAGTTGCTTTCGGATTTTTCGTAACAACCGCAGGTGACATTGTTCTGTACACGTTTATATCAAAATGATAACATGCAAGAATCATAATCGAAGAATTGGTCTGCAAACTCATGTTACAGCAGTCACATTCAAACGAACATAAACGACTACTTTTTTTCGACAAAAAGTATTTTATCATTTATACATAATGATCAAGCAAGCAAACACATTACCATAACTTTTCACTCGATACAACACACTGAACAAAAACATTTTGTCCGCAGGCACATAGAAATAAATTTTATTGGTTTTATACAGAGAAGTTTTCGTTGAGAATCGTCTTAGCAGAAGAACTGGAATAGATTTTTTTTAGATTGGGTGTATTAATAAAAAATTTTTCCTAACACGAGAGTTTTATATCTATATTGCTCCACGGTTTATTTGTGATCATATTGTGTGTCTTGTTTCTTTAGTTTTTTTTTCTTTGATAACAAATAAAAAAAGTAACAACAGTAAAAAAAAAAGTTCACGAACACAAGTCTAATCTGATTGATTTCTTTTTTCATACTGATTCGTGTTATCGATATCTCTGTGATAGTTTAGACCAAGTTTTGCAGACACTTACGTTTTTCTGGCTGACTAGTGGTTGTATAGGCTTCTGTTTTGCGATATCTCTGGAGTAGATTGTTCAAGAATTATTGACATAGTAAAAGATGAATTTTCGGCATGTTTGTTTGTCATGAATAAATATTTGTTGACATAAGAGAACAGTAACATGAGTTAGCATATGATAGTGAGTGGTTGTGTGACGTCAGTATCGGCCTTCGTAACAGCAGCACCCACACCCACACCTGCAGGCTAAATTCAGTTCCACACTCAAATTTATAGTCAGAACCACATTCTAGATTCAGCCCCATAGCCACACACAATTTATTAATTCACTGAGCAAACATAATAATTACTGAATACTAAATTTATACTGATAGTTTAGTTTTTTTTATTGGTCAATTGTATATATAACGGACTAAATTATATTGAGCATTTACATAAAAATACTGAGCATTGAATTTGTTCTTGTTCTCTAATCGCCTCCACAATTTTATTCGTATAAACATCTAATGTAGTATAAGTCAATTTTTCGTTTCTTCACTTTTTGCCCTCACTAGATAAGCGTGTGAAAATTATGACGATTATTTGCTTGTGATAATAAGCAATACAGTCATATAAGCAAAAGACATGACTTATCGGATGATGAAGCATATTTTAGTTGTGTTTGAGAAGCCTACTTAGCACATGAATTATATTGAGAGAATGCTGAAGAGTGTTTTATGCCAACGAAAAATGAATAAGAAGAAAAAAAAACAAATCAAATTTTATTTAAGCACTTTCAACCATCATTGCCCTGTCATAATAGTCGTATTTCTAATTTAACTTTCCACAAAATCAGATCATGCATATACGATCTCCAAGGTATTGTATTGTGACTATATTTTTCATACTTCAAAGATGGATGAATGAAAGGGTCTCACGCATATGTCTATCATATCCTCATTTTCTCTTAAAATATATCACATAGTAATCATTTCGTGTCAATAAACATAGAAGTTTTTTATGCATTATTACTATCAATCTTGTATGGCTGACTTGAGGCTCATTGTTTGCATGATAATTTGTACCAAATCTCAAGCATTATATGACAGGTTGATTATAAAGTGTTTCCATTGATTCCTATTCTATTTTTTACACATTAAGTACATCAGACAATTGTGAACGTATGAACGTATTTTGGAAATAAAAATGTATGATACTCATTATCATGTCAAGTAGAATCACTTTTATTTTCGAACATTACAATGAACATAAACTGTATATTTCTTTTCATTTTTTACGTATAGTACAGTCGTTAGTTACCATATCAGAAAATGAACACAATCATTTTTTTTTCTTTTAGTAATTTAGGACAATCATCTAGACTGAAATGTATGTTATTTCATCTTAGAAAATCTTGAACTTGTATTGCGTATATACATTTTCAAACAGACATTCGAGAATCAGAAAAAAAATTCAAACATAGGTTTGATTGATTCGATCGCTGCATGTGCTTTCAGTAACTATTTGCTATTCTGTGCTCTGCTTGCAAATAAAATCTAAAATCAGAAGGCGGTGCACTAATAATGGAAGAGAAGACTAACAAAAACATATGATTTTTTTTTTCGTCATCCACAACAGCGCAAGAACCAATATATACTGATGAAAAACACCTTCATGTAAAAGAGAAAAACAACTTTTTTTTGTAAACAGGGTATTGCTTCAGCATAGCCAATGGCATGCGACTTTTATTTGGCATAAAATACACTTTAGTAGCAAAAAAAATATTTTAACTAACGAACTTGACTTTTAATGATACTTCACAATACTATCGAAATATAATTTTTTTACACTTGAAAAAAAATATCAGTTGAAATATGAAATTTTTCATTTCTTAGCTAATTTTACATTACAACTGTTACAGTAACGATAGTTTCACAAAATTGTTACCCTTGTAAGAATGATACATATCAATGTTTGTATTATTCAAATTCTAATAATTTCGATTCAATTGATTACTTTCTGCTTGTTAGCATGGATATGTTAATATTTTATTGTTTATTTTACATGAACACATGGCTTTCATTTTTTACATGTGCAATTAGACGGAGCGTTGATTTCGAGGATGGTTTCAAAGAAATTCAACTTTCATTGTTGAAGAAAAAAAGGTCTAACGAGAGACAAATCTAAAACATAGTATAGTTTTTTAAAAGCTTTTTGCATTGTACTCTTGGAATAAATTTTAAGAAGAAACAAGAAAAAAATCATTCATTGATTACTCTCTATACGTAGATCGCGGAAAAATGGACAGTACAATATGACAAATCTTAGTGTTGGTCAATCAAACAATGGTATTTCAATCAATTTTCTACTACATTTTCGGGCATTGTTCATCAAAATGTTCTTAACGTCTCTACGAAAACGAGGTCAAACAATTGCTGAAATACTTTTTGCCTGTGCATTTATTGGTCTTTTTCTTGGTTTGAGATACATCCTTGATCGTCGTTTTTTAAAAGATACTCAAATAGATCGTTTTACTCCACAGCATTCATTAATAATAAATGAATCAACAGCTAATGTAACTTATTATTATCCATGTAAGTTTTACGCTTTTGATTTAATGTATTTGACTGTTTTCTAATAATCTATATATGTTCAGCAAATCCTTGTACGTCAACAATCGTTAAGAGAGCACTGACCGAACTAATAACCATTGAAGATAAATATCCTAGTTTAGGTAAGTAGAGTATTGTATATCTTTTCAGCTTCTCATTGTCTTCCTAACAAGTCCTATTTATTTTTCAATCAACACGTGTCTGCATATGGAAAGACATCTTTCATTAAACAGATTCAATTGCTTAATTGAGTTTGTTCGACTCAAAATTATATGTCTTATACTTATTCAATAGGTTATGTTGAACATGCATGCAATTTAAGTTACTCAATAATGTCATTATGCTCGAATAACTCGGGAGTGTCCTAAAAGTCATTTGAAAATAACAAAGAAATTGAATACACTCATTTGATTTCAAAAAAAAATACCTCTCTTTATTTGTAGATGAGAGAGGAAATTTTCGATGTGTCCTTCATGAATAGAAGCTTAGTAATATCATTTATCTATTCCATTAAAATACATGAGCTATGTTGAGTATAAACCTACCTTGGACTTTGTATTATTGTAATAAAAGAAAAAAATTTCTTGCATTTTAGGCTTTCTAGAATTTTAAATACATTTACTTACAGTCATCTAATTTTTTTGTGTCTATGTGTCTACTTGAAAATTTCACTTTTTAGTAGAATATTCTGATGAATACTCAACCATAAAAATAATTAGAAACATGATCTAAAATTTGTCTGATAAGGAAAAAATACTGGCCGACATAATATTACTTACCCTAAAATGTCGGAGTAATTTGATGACTTCCAGTATTTCGATCCGAGTATCATGATTTGTTTATAGAAGCAGAAATACTGTTTTCTACCGAAACGATCTGCTGAAGAAAGTTTTACGGATTGAAATATACCAACAAACTTTTCGAAAGATCTTTATTTTTCTTGGTTGAGTTTTCATTGAGTTACAGGGTGGAGCTGTTTAGATTCTTTATTGCAGTAAATGACAATAGACTTGATGTATGTATAGATACATTTAATTGCTAAATAAGAAAATTATACTTTCTTCTATCGTTTGAGAAGAAAACGGTTCATTTGGCCGAAATAGAATAACTATATTCAATTTTTTTGTTGGTTGTCGACTTTTGGAAGAAATCCTTATAGTAATACAAAAAGAAACGTTCATTTCTGTCTTCCTGTATCAAAATTACATTATCTGTAGTGATTATTTTAAAGCAGAGAATTTAAAGTCTTACTTCTATTATATGTTTGGCATTTTCTTTTCGATGATAGTAAAAACTATAGAAGACGCGTAAGTGAGTTAAAGAACTACTGAAATAGAAACCGTTCGGGTTAATAAGAGCTGCGAGAAAAAACTGTGATAGAAGTAATGCACAGCTGATGTCAATATGATAGAGATCCGAATTATGGATGAATCTGATGATTACCAACATTGTCTTATGCACTAAATCGTTTTTTTCCCTTTGTCATACAAAGTTGATTCATTTCATCAAATCGAACGCATGGATTAAAGTAACATTAAGTATTGTTTCGTCGCTTTTTTTTTGGCCATGAAGTTGGTTGCGGATTAACTTTGTAATGATATCTATGAGTGTCCTCTTCAATTAAAACGTTGTATGACTCAAACTTGAACATTATTTACTAATGCAACATTATAATGAATATCTCCTTGTAACATTCTGCGTATCGCACAAGGAGGATTTTTGTGATTGCTTCACTTAGAATTTCTTCTTAGTTGTAGCTGATTTTCCTGAAATTTTTACCATAGACTCCTGTTAATAATCGTCAGAATTAAAAATTATCCATTTCCACTTTTGGTCTTCTGATGCGCAAGCATAATGTGTTGAATGTTATAAATAGATTTTTCAATGAAAACTTTAAAAAATGAATTTTTTCAAAACTTCACAGTTGCCTTTTAGATCTTGCTTTACTCGTTGTCAATGAAACATTTAACGGAACTGGGGGAAACTCGAGGAGTCGTAAACAGCAATGATGAAGCTTGTTTATTACAAGCGATTTCTGCAGAAAGTCGTTATCAATCTCGTATATATCTTTTCTTGAATACGTATCCCATCGTTTTCGATATTTCAATTGTACGAAAAATTTTCTCTTCCTCTGCTGTGCCATACTCAACTAACAGAAATAGGCAAAATAGAATGAATACTTCTGACATAGATCTCCGCAACTTCTAAGTTTTTTTCAGATCATTTATGGTTACCATAAAAGAAAGTAACTGGAGCTAATCTATGAATAGAAAAACAATCAGATTAATTTTCATTTATGTGCCCTAATGTTTTGGTAGATAAACAAAATATCAAACTCGAATAATCATTGCAACAATAGAAGATTTACTATGAAACTATGCCTATTCTACTTCGTCTGAGCTAAGTTAGAACAAAAATTTCCAAATCGATAACTTTATTGAATTCATACGGTAGGGTTTTTCCAATAGTTATCATTCGTTAAACATTAAAAGTTTGTGATAAACATCATTTAATAATTGACACCACTTAATATATAAATGAGACCTCATAGAAAAGCTTTAATTTAACCGCCTTACATTTTTCAATTTAGCTCTTCCATTATCCAAAGAGAGTCTGTCATCATTTTCAAATGAAATGTTACTATCAATCAATGCTTACATCATTTTTACGAATATGGATTCGTGTGTGAATAAATCAACAATGCCGGATCAAGTTCATTATACCCTACGCATGCAGGAGTATGTTATTGAATTCATTTTCTTTGTTCATTTATTTTATTTCTACTATTGTAGAAATGGTCTGAGTTATTATCGTGCTCATCGTGTTAAACTTAAAGACAGCGAAATTCGTTCAAAACGCTCTCCGGAAGATTTTTGTCATGGTAAATTCAACGCACATGTTTTGTAAAACATAAATATTAATGAGTATTATAGTACAAAATAAGAGATATGACGATGTCGGTTTTGAAATCTTCGCATACTGCGATGGATTTGTCAAAAAAGCTATCTTAGTGTCATAGATCATGACGAACATTTTCAAATATGTTCTTTCGGTTCTATTGTCGACTATCATAAATGTGTTGGAGAATCTCGTTCATAACTAAAGATGCTCGACTGTCTTTCACTTATAATTTTGAATTTATTATTCTTTGAAGAAATTAGAACCTAATATTTTGTGCTTTTTTTCAGAGGCTACCGTGCTAGTGAACTACGTGAATCAATTTATAGGTCTTCAGTTTGCAATTGATATATCAATCATTGAATATGTAACAAGTATTAGTCAAAATATAAATAAACCGACTGTAAGTTGAATAATTTCCTTGTAATTCATGTAAAAACAAAACCAAACAACACTATATATTAGATAATTATGAATCATTTCGGTTGTCCCGCTACCAATAATGATCAACTTTATACAATTTACAGTTTTTTTATTTCAATTTTTGTCTCGTTTATTTACTCAATAACATTCATTATAACTGTTGGTTATATTGTTGAAGAACGTGAAAATAAGACAAAAGTAAGTAAAACAAAATATTCATTGAATAGAATCCATAATGGTAAATATTTCTATCAGGAATATTTACGTATTTATGGTCTTCGTACTTGGATAAACAATTTAGTTTGGTTTAGCCGAGCGATGTGCATATATTTTGTGTTGACTGGTATTGTGACCGGTTTCAGTATGTTGGTTTTACCAAGTACAAATATACAAGCAAATAGCATTACCAAGGGCATATTTAACAATACACATTGGACTTTAGTTTGGACTGTTCTCTTTGTCTATTCAATTCATGTTTCAGCATTCACAGTCTTCTTTAGTCAATTTTTCAGCCGTCGTAAGTCTTAAGTTCGATTTTAAAACAAATCGTCTCTCATGCTTGATAAAAAGTTCTTAGATATTCTAATTGAGTATTAAAACTTGAATCTTCAGTTTCTTAGTGCCTCAAAAACAAAACAAAGACTCACTTGAAAAGAGAATTATTCAATTGAATAAGAATTGTGAAATTCATTCAAAAGAATAAAATTTTCTATTAGGGAAATATTTTATTCAACAACTATTTATATGAATTTTTGTTATTACATTTAGCTCTATTGGCAAAAATGTTAGGATTTCTCATATGGTTCTTCACATTCATTGATTTCTATCCAAATGTACCAGTCGGTGCTCTTTATGTTTTATGCCTTTTTCCGAATATTGGTCTCATGTTTTGTGTTCAAGTTATGCTACAATTTGAACGCAAAGGCGGTAAGTAAAATTATTCTCTTGCTTAATTGATGATGGAAAACATTATCTCTTTGAAAACAAAGAAATCATTTTCCCAATCTTGTTGTATAATTTTTCATCATTGATCACGCTCGATATGCATTCGTCAACCTATTTAGCGAAAACCTTTGTAAAAAATTGTTGCGTTTTTGGTTCAACTAGCACCAATGTAAGCAACTATTTTGTTACGTAAGAATGGAGTTTATTTGTGTCTTTGAAATCTCGGAACATCATCCATGCAAAAGCAATGAAGATGATTTGTTTCATATGCCAATTCATATAGAAATCGACTATATGCTATTTATCTTATATATATGTCAGCGTCCAAACTGAGATTACGTCCAATCTCAGATTGGCCTAGGCGAATGTCGAATCCGAGATTGGACGCGTCCAATCTCGGATTCACGCAATTCAGTTCATTAAAATATCAATTACCCTTTAGACAGACCTTGGATTCGAACTTTTTTTTGAAATTATGTTCACACAATGCCAGTTTGTTTGGCACAATTGTCATTTGGCAGATTTGAATAAAATTTTAGGAGTTATGAATAAATTTCTAGAGAACAACAACTTTTGTGAAAAACTTTTATTACATTTTTGAGTCTAAATTTAGCTTCTTCCTAAATGCTTGTAATACTTAAAACGGCATTGTGTGAACATAATTTCAAAAAAAAAGTTTGAATCCAAGGTCTGTCTAAAAAGTAATTGATATTTTAATGAACTGAATTGCGTGAATCCAAGATTGGACGCGTCCAATCTCGGATCCGACATTCGCCTAGGCCAATCTGAGATTGGACGTAATCTCAGTTTGGACGCTGACATATATATATATATATATGATCTGTAGAAAAGATAGAAAAACAAAAAGAAGTTAAATTTTTCAAAGAAATACCTTGTATAGAACATTTTTTTTTCTTCCCTATATTATAGAAGTAGTTTTATTGGTTGTTCTAATAAAAGCGCTCGAGTTATGTTTTTCTTGTTCTTTAGATGGAACGACAACATTCTCTCGACTTTATTCGAATCTATTTACATCTCCACTTTATATTGGCATTTGTCTACTTCTAATGCTTGTCTATTCTTTTATCTATATGATTTTGGCTATTTACATTGAACGTATTAGTCCAGGTGGATTCGGCATATCACAACCGTGGAATTATTTATGTAAAAAAGGCTATTGGAAATCACGACAAGCATCTTCTATGAAACATAACAAGAATAAAGATCAAATGGATTCGATTGTGGAAAATAATCACTGGATTGAATCGAGTTCTTTTGCCAATACAAAATTACCTATCTTAAGTATAAATCATATGACAAAAGTAAGATATTCAACTAGTTCAAATTCCATTATGTTGCTATTGTTTTTAATTTTTTGACGTGTAGAAATTTGGCAAATTGAACGCTGTTATGGATTTATCTCTTGATTTTTACAATGGTGAAGTTTGTTCATTATTGGGACATAATGGAGCAGGCAAAACGACTACGACATTTATTCTTGTTGGTATGAGTTTAGTTTGTAGAATTGAACTGTTTTCCAAAGTAAACTCACAAACATGAGACGTCAGAATAAAATTAATCAATACATAAGAGATGAAGAAGCGTCTGTTCTTTTTTTGGAATATTCAATACAGATACTGAAAACAACAATCCACATTTCATAGAGAACACCTTGCAATACTGCGAGATTTTGTTTCGGATATGACAGCATTGGAAAAAAATCAATTTCGGATATTTCTATAATTCCACTAAGTGACGAAATGACAAATGGCTGCATAAGACTCAAAATCAGGTTCCTGAAATTTGATCCTAATAGATATCAAATGAAACAGTACAAGCTACTGAACATATCTCCGTATCTGATTTGAAATTTCATTTGTAAAATATATAGATCATATAAAATATTTTGATATATCCTGATTTGAATACTTTTTCACATGAGAAGTTCCATAATTCTTGGCCTAAATAGCTCATTCGAGAAAATACGTGACTTCCTGCATTATTGGATCGATTGAAACCATAGAATCCAAACAGAATACTAGTATGATCATGAACAACATGATTAATACTGAATTTTTTACAGGCGGGAGCAAGACGCTTTGGCACACATTGTTAGTTTGCTAAATTTTATTCGTCATGATTTACTTGTACTTCATAGGTTATAAAGGATATATGGTGTTTGTTGCTGCCACGAAAACCTACGTTTTTTTTCCTATCTAGTCCTAAAGATGCCATCATTAGGATTATGGGAAAGCACACGCTAAGTCACTCATATTCTGAAATTCTCCATCAGCTTTTTATTGACTTTTCTACTCAAATTCAAGAGACCATTAGATCTGTCGATTTTGGCTTCCATGACTTATCTTAATCCTTAATATTTTCTTGACTACTTAAAAACTTGCATCTAGGCATGTTGGAACCGACGTCGGGTTCTATAACTGTTGAAGGATTGGATGCTCGAATGCATATTCAAGAGATTCGAAAAATGATTGGGTTCTGTCCACAATATGGTAATAATATTGATTTCTTTTTGACGATAGTATTCATTAAATAAAAAATACACTTTTAGATATTCTCTACAATGAATTATCTGTTAGAGAACATTTGAAACTAGTTGCAGAGGTATAGAATTATCGAATAATAAATTATGTTGATTTTACTTGAAATTTTTTGATTTTTTTTCCTTTCGAAGATGCGTCAAATGAAAAAAAAAGAAGTGAAAGAATCTATTGATAATATTCTCAATTTAATTGGACTAGTCGATCAACAACATACATGGGCAAAAAATTTATCTGGTGGTATGAAGCGCCGATTGTCTATCGGCATTTCATTAGTTGGTAATCCGAAAGTAAAGAAATTTCTTTAAAAAAAAAACATTTTTTTATATCTTTCTATGAAAATGAACTTTACCTACTAACTATTCTAGGTATTGATTTTGGATGAACCAACTAGTGGCATTGGTAAGTACGATAAATATATTATTAGTAGCATTTTAGATTGGATTGAGTCATATTTTAAATGCAGCAGTAACAGTCTTCAGAATTCTGAGAGTGATTCTATATTTCGAAAAATAATTGCAATATTTAAATATAAAATTTGATCAAAATTTATCGATTGAAAACTACTTCCGTTGATACATACGATCAATAGAAATGTATGAAAAATCAAGCATCTTTCTATAGCAAAGACATGAATTATTTCTATTAGATAAAAAAGTCAAGATTACATTTTCAAAAGAAAAATACCAAAAGAAACCCAGGTCGAATTCACCCTGTCGAATCCGATAGAAATTCGCCGGAATTTGTCGGAATCCTAACCACAGGATTCCGACAAGTGGTTCTGGATGTCGGAAAGTGTCGGTGTTTCAGGGATTTCGCAGGATCCTGATTATTCCGACATCCGGAACCTCCTGTCGGAATCCTGTGGCTAGGACGCCGACAACTTCCGACGAGTTCCCGTCGGATCCGTTAAAATCCGGTAATTTTTCCGATATAATCCGATATAATCCGACGTAATCCGACAGTCGGATCGAATCACCTGGGAACGTTTTAATTATTTCTCATTCGTTTTCTATTGTAGATCCATACAATCGTCGTTTCATATGGACAATCATACGTAAAATGAAAGAAGCTGGAAAATGCATAATTATGACAACACATTTTCTTGAAGAAGCTGATGTCCTTTCAGATCGAATTGCTGTTATGACTAAAGGTCGATTACAAGCAAATGGAACACCTGAATTTCTTAAACAACAAACAGGTTTTCTGAAGAATTTGACAGGAGCATAACATGCATCATAAATTTGATATATTTTAGATTTTGAATATCGTATTTTTATTGACAAAAATGAAACCTGTGACATTCAACAAGTAACTCAATTCTTTCAAGAACATGTACAAACTGCTGTATTAGAAAGACAATCAGCATCGGAACTAGTATTTGGAATCAAACGTGGTGTATCACAACGTATTAGTGGATTAATCAATACTCTTGATGAGCAAGGTTCAAACATTGGCATTAAGGGATATGGCTTATCGATGACAACAGTAGAAGAAGTATTTTTAAAGTAGGATATTTAATATACGATATCACTAAAAAAGTATCCTTCAGATTAAAAAACCATCAACATTTTCTCTTCACATCAAACCAAGGAGACTGGCGCTTCTTTGATGATAGAAGGTTTTATGCAAAAGAAAATCTTTCAGAAGCACTAGTGATTTCACTAAAGAAAAATATTACATAATATCTCAGCCATTCTTAAAGCTAGTTATCTGAAATTTCTGATTTTGCTTGTCTGTATTGAGAAGATTTATAACATATGATAGGTTTTCGGACGATGAGTCGAATAGTTCAAAAAGAGAATAATCTTATGGGTCGACAATCCTATAATTATGCTATTCTTTACAACAATTGATCATGATATGATTTTTATCGAACAGTATCCATGCACTCAACAATTTTCTTATGTATATATTAATGCATTACACGAATTAATATACCGTTTTCATGCATCATAACTCTCGTTCAATTGAAATAATTGAGATCAAGTTAATCTTTATGATGTTGACTTTTAAAATAATATTTTTGATAAAAGTTTCAGACTTTGGTTCTTTAAAAACAGTTAGAGCTTCAAGAAGATATTTCTGTGAAAAGTGATGTTTTTTCACTATTGAAGACTATATGGATACTTGTATCACAAAAAAACAATAATATTTCGACGAATTTTAGAATTTTTGTATCTATTTCGTGATTTAACAACTTCTTATGTATGAAAAATATTATTTTACTTATTTCTTTTAATAATATAGACTCGTAGAAGAAGAAGAAGAAGAAGAAACAAACGAAATTAAAAATCATCAAGAAAAACCAAAAGCTAATCTAGCAAAAACTGGTATTTATATTCTTAATACTTGCTTCAATTCTAGTTGTTATTTCTTTATTATTCTAGTATTTCATCGAAATCACAATCATATCACTGGATTCTATCTTATTTGGATTCGACTTTGTACACTCATAATCAAACGATGGATTCTTTCTCGTCGACAAATATTTGTTCTCCTTGGCTTCTTTTTAGGTCCTTTATTAATCGAAATTATAACGATTTCTGCATTACCTTCTCCAAAAGATATTCAATCATCACTTTTACAAAATGAACGTATTAAAGATGCTCAAGTTACACTTCTTCCATCGATCTATAATCCACAAACAATAGTTATTTATTCAAATGAAGTTGATAATCAAATAAAAGGATATTTAAAAAATTATTTAACAAACATGGGTGCAAATATTGACGAAATACCAACAAATAATATACTCGATTATATTCTATCACGAAATAATGTTTCCTATGATACATATGTTAATAAATATCAAATGGGTTTTTCTATTGATAGACGTGGAACATGGCCAACATTGAATGTGTATTTTTCGACAGTTAATTATCATACAATAGCAACAAGTCTTAGCGTAGCAACAACGTGTTTATTTCAATATTTTGCAAAATCATCATTGAAAAGTATTCAAACAATAAATCAACCAATTTTAACATCTTCAACTTCTGTTACAGCACGATCAATTTTTTTTGATCGAATATATTGTTTTGATACAGTTCCATTGTCATTATTAAATTTTATTAATAGTTTTATTGCATCAATTTTTATTAGTATTCTTGCATTAAATGTTATTCGAGAACGTATTAGTCATTCAAAAGATTTACAATTATTAACAAATACATCAAAGAAATTATATTGGTTTTCGAATTTTCTCTATGATTTGACATTATGTTTAATACTTTCTGCAATTTTAACTATTGTTGTAAAAGTAAGATAAATAATTTTGAAAAAATATCAACAATTAAGTTCTCAGAAAATTTTCTATGATCTCAATCTGTTAATATTAATTTTATAAAATTTTGATAAAATTCAATCGACTAATATTTTTGAAAATTTTTCGAAAGAAACAATTTATAACCATCGTTGACTCGCAAAACATATTGTAATGATAAACAAGACTTTATCGTATAGATCAATTGTAACAACAATGGGTATTTTCTTTTATTGTGCTCTGTAATAGAAGGACCTCAGAACAAAAAATCTTTTGGATCGGAAAAGGAAAGAATGTGTTCTTCAATTTGTTAAATCAGTTATCATTTATCATTGCATACTATTGAAAAGCATCCGTGACTCCTTGATAAAATTAGACTAAAAAAAATTATAAGTTTAAGTCATTGAATTCGAAGTAGATCAATTTTAGTTTTCAAGCAGTACGAGAGAGTTTTCCTTTTTTTTTCTTTTAGATCGGGTCTGTAGCTCATCCAAATCCGGAAGTCGAAGTTCAAATTTATAAAGGCACTGAACAAATAGGTTATTTTTTTCTTTTATATTTCATGTATTCATTGGCTTCATTACCATTCATGTACTCATATGCGTTCATACCCCAGTCTGAATTGATTGGTTTTATTATGTTTTTGATTGTAAATGTAATTTTATGTTTTTTTGATATGGTTCTTGGTTTTATTGCGGTATATTCACAAGCTTCTCCATCATCTAGTGCTGTTAAAATGGGTACAACTACGCAAGTCATGCTAAATCTTCGTTTGGTTCTTGCGGGTTTCTTTCCAACGGTTAATTTCAAACAAGCTTTATTCAATATTCGTCTACGTTCAGATCCAACTTGTATATCAGCAATTAATGCTATAATGATTACGAATTATTCTCCTGATGAACCATGGACATCAATAAATGAACCTGGTATTGGACTTCAATTAGTGATATTTTCTGCTCAAATCGTATTTTGGTGGATTATATTAACATGCATTGAAAATCGAGTTAAGATTGGACAATATATTTGTTGTTGTTGTTTTAAGCGAAAAGAACACAGAATAAGTGATAGACAGAGAAACCAAGTGAATAACAACAACTCAACTATGGCACTTGAATGGGATGATTCAGTATGCATGATAATATGTTTATGTGATGTGAAATCGATTTCTGCATTTTTGTTTTCTGTTTCTAGAAACTTGACAAAGATGTTCGAGATGAACGTCGAATGATTCTTAATAACAGAGCATTATTTACATCAACTGTTGTACTTGTTCGAGACCTTGTTCAACAATTCAAGAAACGAAAAAGAAAATTACTTTTTTCACCTTATTTTACAGCAGTTGATCATCTTAATTTTTATGTACCAAAACAATCATGTTTTGGTCTGTTAGGTATAGAAAATTAATCAAATAGTTTGATGTTAGACTTTCGAGGTTTTGTTTTTCTTGTTAATAGGTGCTAATGGAGCCGGCAAGACCACAACATTTCGAATGTTAATCAATGATATTCAACCTACTGCAGGAGAAATACTTATTAATGGGAAAAATATCAACCAGACAGTAATTTTATTATTTTTTTAAAACTTTCTATTGTTCATTTCATTCTTGCATAAATTTCTAAAGAAACGAGACATCGAGATGGGCTTTTGTCCACAATTTGATTGGCTTATTGAAGATCTAAATGTTGTCGAAACATTAACGTTATTTGCAAGGTAAAAAATTAATAATTCATGTAAAAGATGTAAATAAAAAAATAACGCAGAAAATATAAACAGAACTATAGAGAAATTTGGAGCGAAATAATGAAAAGGAGAATAGAACAAGAGCTAATATCAAATGGGGTGACACTTCAAACAAAGAAAACCAACTAAAAAAAAAAATTTTTAAATGATTGTTTTTGGTTTCTTGATTACAGTTTAACACTTTTCTAGCGTATGATATTTTCTACGGGTATCTCTAACAACTCAGTTTAGCACCGGTACAAGAAATATTGCACGAACGCACGCGACCAGAACCTTCATTGTTTAGTGTACGTATAGATTGAAAAACAATTCTTAATAAATCATTTTTTCAGTCAATATGATCATTTTGGAATATGATTAAGAGGTCTTGTTTTGTTTTTCAATGTTGGATATTTACCGTTTGAAAATATCTAGTATGGGAAACCCTATTAAAACAGAGGAAAATGTTGTATTTTTACCAATATATGACATATTTTCTTTTTTATGAGTTTCATGGCTGAAAAAGCTTTATAAAGTTTGTAAATGTTGAATAAATGGTATCTACTGTTTCTTTAAATTCATAGATTGAAAGGTTTATCAACAGCAGAAATTCCAATCACTTGCAATGACATGATAGAATTATTTGGTCTGGAACCTTATCGAGAGTGTGAAGTGCAAAATCTCAGGTGAGTATTGCATCTTTAAAAATATATTATGATTGCTAGGAGAAAAATTTTCAGTGGTGGCAACAAACGAAAAGTGAGTGCTGCTGTAGCATTCATGGCTAATCCATCGTTAATCTTTTTGGATGAACCAACAACGGTAAGAATAAAATAAGTGAGAAAAAAAACAGACGATTTGATTACTGATATTGTTAATTTCTACATGAAAAAGATCAAATGGATTTTGCTTGTTATAAAAAAAAAAGAAAACGGGATTGTTAAATATCATGACTTTGATAAAGTTACTCAAATCAAAGATACATGATGGTTATTATAATACAGTAATATTTTGATTCCTGAAAGAACTCTTTGTCTAACCTGTCGACTATGATGCACACTGATAGATCTTGTTTCACTAGTTTTATATGCATAAAAGATTCTATTTGATGAACTACAGGGTTTGGATGCTGGTGCAAAACGTAAACTATGGAGTGTGATTCGAGCTGCTCGCGACGCCGGTTTGACAATAATTATGACAAGTCACAGGTAGAAGTATGATCGTTAGGAAATCTTTTTCTATTTCGTTGACTTTGCAGCATGGAAGAATGTGAGGCACTGTGTACAAGTAAGTTTTTTTCAAAAACAACAAAGCATTCGACCTATTTACAATCGTTATGCTTTATTATATATAGAAATCGGCATTATGAAATCGGGACAATTTGTTTGTCTCGGTAATCTTCAACATTTAAAGAATCGGTTCGGTAAAGGCTATGCAGTTCAAGTGAAAGTATCTCATGAGAAAATGAAGGAATTTCAACAGGAACTTACTAGAATTTTGCCAGGAATCGAAATTGAAGGTATTGTTATATATTATGAAGCATTGAATTTTTTAATTCTATCTTCAATTAACTGAATAGATGAACAAAATGGTGTACTTTTTTGTAATGTACCATTTGCATCATCGCCATCAAACAGCATACAAAGTACAACATGTTCATCTAATTTATCACTTGTATTTGAAGTACTCAATGCAAAAAAAGAACAAAATATTATTGAAAGTTACTCAGTAACTCAAACAACACTGGAACAAATTTTTGTCCGATTAGCTGGTCATGATATAAATAATGATGATACTTTAACTGAGATTGCTTCTGTTTCATCTCAACCTAATTCGAATGCCGAGGCTGTCAATCAGGGTATGTATTATTCCATAAGTCTCATATGAGAAGGATATGTTTCATTGAAATTAAACTTATAAGTTTGAGAGAATGTTTCAAATCAATTTTGTCAAGCATAATGGTCGATAAAAACAAATTTAAAATAGAGTCATAATGATTACAAAGTATTGTTAAAGTATGCTTGATAATAAATTAGAATTCTATATCAGAATGTTTTTAAAAAAAAGAAATATCTATAAGAAAAAAAAAATTGTTTGTTCTTGTTTAGCCTTTGTTATAGACTGCGCAGTTTCGACAAGTACTTTAGACAATTTTAATTCAGATCAATTCACGTCTGCTGAAAGTATCGATATTCATCTTTAATATATCTTAAAAACTGTTGTTCAATTCGTTTGTTATTGCATATTCCAATACATTATATATTTTTTCTTTAAATTGTTTATTATTGTATTATTTACTTTCAGCGAAAAGTCAAATAAACAAAAAAAACTTCTTTAGAAAAATGCTAAATAAATATTTTTGTTTAAATCTCAATTCTAATTCATTTATAAAACAATATTCAAATTTTCTAATATTTTATATATTTACTGCATATTAGTTAACAGTGCTGATCTGTATTTATTATTGTATGAAGTTATTTACAAAATAGATCGATACAATAGAAGATTTGTGAGGTTTCAATTCGTTGGAAACCCTCATGTTTCAATGTAATGCGAATGACAAAAAAAAATGTCGAAATTAACATTTTTCGATTGTTATCTTTTCCTATCCAATACTTGAACTTGTGTATGTTCCCGTATTGGTATCAAATATAAGAGTCATATTTTGTGTTACAGAACTGGCTTGATCAAAGGAATATTGCACAAATGGACCACTACTTGAATCTAGAGTATTAAAATGACTTATATCAATAAATAAATGTCTATTATTTTGCTCATTTACCTTGAACGCCAACCGTAGAAGAAGCACCTTCATCAGTAACCTCATAATAAATAAATTGAACAACACCAGGCATATTTTCAAAGAATATGACTTGAAAATTATAATAGTCAGTAGATTGTTGATAATGGCTACAGTAATATTCAACGATGAACGTTTGATTTGGAGCATTGCCTTGTTTTTGATAGTATATACCTTGTGATGTATTTGCATAAATGTATAGATCATCCCAATATGGTAGAATTGTTGCACCAGAAAATGCACTAGTAGGTAGAGCAGTTTCAGTGAAAGTAGTGGAACAAGTTTGAAGACAAATCACCTATTAAGCATAAAATAAATATTCTTAAATCTATATAAGTAAAATAAAACATACACCATTAGTTGTTACTGTGATGGAGGTTGTTGTCGTATTATAAAGAGTGATATTAAATGGTACAGTTATAGTGAAATATTTATCGTCGACTGATCCATTGACAGAAGCTGCCCATATGAATGTTCCATTAATTATTTTGATACTTGATAAAGTACTGCATAGACCAGCTGAACAGCTTGTATATGTTGATGGACATACATTATTAATCTTACCACAATTATTAATATCGATTAATATATTAATACAATTTCCGGAAGGTGCTTGGACATAAGGTGAAACACATTTAACTAAATAAATTTATTTGGGATGTCGACTACTCGAAATTTGAACAACATTTTTTTCTCATACGTAGACAGTGTTCATACAAGTTTTTACTGTAAGACATTAACGATCAGAAATTCAGTTCCGAAAGAAATAAATTTCATATTCAGAATCAGCGCAATAATCTGCATCGAGTAGGATGAAGCAATATAAGAACCGAAATTTGACGAAAGCTGAATTTGAATATCGAGTATACCACTCGATAGAGATATTTATGCTGATTCTAAATATGATGTTTGTTTCTTTCGGAGTTGAAGCTCTACTTATCCATATCTCTGAATGCAAGCTTCTGTGTATGAACTCTTTTTTCTCATATCGAAAAAAATCGATTTTTTTTTTAACATTTGAGCGAAAGCTTTCAAAAAAAAGATGTATAATCTTTTTACTGTCACCATATGATTAGTGCAATAAAAAAACAACAATTCGGATAAATATTAAGAGTGCGAAGCCTGAAGAGTTTTTATGCATTTCAATTTTTAATAGGCTTCTCTGATTTTTTTAAACCCAATTTTCATAAGTTTGACTATAAAAACAACATTTACATAGGTAATCGAACGAAGTCTATCTGATAATGAGAAATAAAGAGCTCAAATATTTTGATCAAAATCCGCATGACCGACATTTTAGAAAAATAGTTCGGATTCCATTCAATTTATATGTTAAAAAAAAAAAAAAAGAAAAGAGAAATGAAAGATTCACACGCGTTGGCTTAAACAGTCATACCTGTAGTACCTAAAACAATATAAATTTTGAATGAATAAATAAATCAATATACAAAAATTATCTTACTCGTAGTTTTTGTCGTTGTTGTAGTTGTAGTTGTTGCTAGAAATAATTCAATAGTATTAAAACTATGTTAAAAAATTTCAAAATAAATAAAAAATTTCATTCGTATTTTTTTTTCCTATACGAGCTTATATATCAATTTAGGAAAACTTCATTTACTAACTTGTTGTAGTCGGTTTAGTTAATAGAACAAGTGTAGCAATCAACATAGCAAAGATACCAATAGCAAATAATAAAAGTAATATCAGCAACGTTAGTAGCAAACATGTTTTCCATCTAATAAGAGAAAAAGATAAAATCAATATTAGTTTTTATAATATAAAATGTAACAATGTACGTGATGTACCACCTCTCGTTATTCGGCACTTCTCTAAGATGGTCTGTTGATGTATAAATATCTCGAGGTGTAGTTACTCTTGTAGTAGATGATGATTGATTTTGAAATGAATCAAATTGATTATTTCTTACTATTTCAATTGTTCGTGATGGTGCAGTACTCTTGTTCTGTAAATATTGAAATTCAATAAATCTCTTATTATTAGTTAATTGTAATGAAAAGAAAACTAGTTAATAAGGATAACAGATTTGTTTTGAAATATATATTGATATTACTCACAGTTTTATAAAAAAATATTCGAAGTGGTTTCATTGCTGTGAGACTTTCACTACTCGTTGGCATTATTATTCAGTTGATTTTTATAAAAATTTTCTTTTTTTTGTCTCTCTATTACGGAAATGTATGTATCATTACTTATAACGTTAGGAAAAAGTATTTTGCAATATTTCTATATACTATTGACTTACTTTACTACATTAGTAGAAAATGTAATTGTAAAGATATTGAAATAATAAATCAACCAACGTCAGAATGTTCTTTAAAAAAAGTGATACTTAAATTTATTAAGTTTCGAACAGGAAAAGATTGTTTTGATTGATTATTGCATGCTTTTATATTTTTTTGCTTCTTCTTATTACTTAGCTTTTAAAGTACATCGAAGGAAAATGTAAGAATAATATATATAAAACGAGAAAAACAATTTTTGTGAGATGTTCATTCATATATACATTATGCTATATAGAAGATAACAGAATAGTCTCAAGCAATGAAAATCAACCAAGATATCAACAAAATATTCTGATTTCGGACAAAATTGTCGAAAAATAAAAGCAAGACTTATGTTAGTTGTAATCAATCATTGATTAATGAATAGATATATATTACAATTTAGATTTATTGTTTTTTCTCACAATCCTTATCTAGGTAAAGAATATCAATCATCATGATCATTTTATGTATTCACTTCAGTTTTAATAATTTTACGCATAAATGTCTGTGATTAATACCTAGACTGGATCATTCATTCAAATAATCAAGATTAAGATTTTTAACTTTTTGCTAATACCTTCTAGTATATATTGTATATTATGTTTTTCGAATAAATAGAGCGTTATATTTATTAAGAATATCAGACACGCGCATAAAGAAAATAGTCAATGTCTACATGCTTATAATTAACATCAATACTGTAGAAAGATGCTAAACGAATATAATAAATGTGTAGACTATCTTAGAACGTGACTTCAATGTTATGTGGATAGAACCAGGGATTTTATTAATTTTTGTTAATAGATATTCAAAAATGCAAGATTAGAAGATCTTATCAAAATAGACTTTTTATTCGGTACAAATTTTCTAAACTCAGTTATTATTATGTTTGACCGTTTGATGATGGACTTATTTCTATCACAAATAAACTAAAAATCTACTTTGAAAATTCTTGACGATCATTGTTCTTGTACTTAAACTTGATTTAGAGATAAAATGCTGTTAGCAGTGGCATCTCTGTCAATCCAAAACAAGTATTCACAAGACCTGTTTTAATATATTTCAGTTATGCATTCTAATCAAATTTTAAGCATATGGATTTAAGAGCTTCGCTGTCAGTGGGTTAATCATAAGCAAATGTTAATGTTATATGTTTCTATTTTTGAAATTCTATTGATTATAATTTGAAGATATTAGTATGATTATTTCAAATGTAGTTTGATCAACATTTGCAAAACTTCTTGTACTATCAAAAAGCATCCAGATAAACTTTTAAAGTCTTCGTATCAAAAAACATTTCTCAAACGTTCATTATATTTCACTGGTATTCTTTGATTTATTAATTAACACATTCGAGATTTATTATATGATATAACTATATTTAACAATGCATGCTGAATACAAAAAGTCTCTTGTCTTTTCAATAAAAAAAAAAAACTTTCATTAATATGAAATATTTATCAGAATTGATTGTAAAAATTTTAAAGTTAATTAAGTAAAGTTATTAGTTATCTTTAATAGATAATTAAACTTTTAAAGTCAATTCTGATATATTTTTATAGAAAATCATAAAAGAATAGCAAACAATAGGCAGACAAAGAAATCAATTAAGTAAAAACTTTTTCAAATTTTGTAAATACTGTGGTCAATTCCATTACGAATATATTTCTTCAAACTATTGAAAAAAATTTAGAAATGTACGCCAAATTGAAATTAATTTTTTACGAAAACAAACAATAGCAACGGTTATACAAATAAGGAATGGCAATCCAAGGCCAAGTGAAAGACCAAGAATAAGACCTAAATTCGGCTTTTCTATAAAAGAAATTTTATAAGTTTAATTAAAAGATCAATTAATTTATAACTAACCTGAAGAAGGTATGAATTCAGTTATATTGTTGGGAGACATCGATGTTATATCCATTGTGATTGGTATTTCAGAGTTTCTTGTGCCACCTGAAAATAATACAAATAATCTCTATATAGTGAATTACGTTCTAGATGATATTATACCATTTGTTGTCGAAGTCGATGTAGTGGTAACAGTTGTAGTTGAAGTGGATGTTGTGGTAACAGTTTCAGTCGATATAGTTGCATCAATATTATTTAAGTGTGAACCAGTTTCATTTGAGTAAGGTGTATTTGACTGAAAGACATCCGAAGAAGTTGTTAATAAATTAGATTCACTCGTATCATCTGTAGAAAAATTTTCACAGTTGCAGAAGATTAAACTGAGAAATAAACCTAGAAAGAGAAATCAATGAATTCGTCTATCATTATATTATCTCATACCAATAAGAGCATAAAATGTATGCATTGTTGTATTGAATTCTGTTAGCTGTCCAATAAAGAATATAGTTTATATCAACTTTTTCATATATTTATAAGTAAGGAAAGGTTCTATTTTTTTTTTCGCATCAATCATAGATGTTTAGTACGTCAACAATAATTTGTTTCCCAAGATATTGCAAAACATTTCAATAAATATTGAAATAATAATAATAAAAATTTTCATGACATTTTTCTATGCGTTATCAGCATCGATGATTTGTTGGCTAGTAAACTATGTTGATTTAATGATGATTATTCATAAGCATGTCACAAGTGTTAAAAATGTTTTGTTTTGTGTGTTCATACTACTCACGTCATAACTTTTCAGAAATATTAATATTTTTAATAAAATCTTATAGAAAAATAGCACGAGTCAATTGCTGAGAAAATATTTAAGTTTTGAATGCGACACAATCATCAAAATACAAGATTATTTTAGAGTTGAATATAAACTGTTAGATCGTCATTTTTTTCTCTCTGTAGAGAAAAAATCATTTTTTAGCAAACAGAACAAGAAAAAAATAATCAAGATCAAATGATTGTAGGTTCTTATTTATTAAATTGATACGTACCTACCATAAATATGCTGCTGTCAAAGCGTTTCTTGAACTGAACGATATTTTTGTCTCTCTCTCTCTCTCTTTTCATATCAATTGTTTTCTGAATTTTCAATTCGTTCAAATTCTTTTTTTTCTTAAATTAACAAATTGATTGTGAACGGATGTTCGAAAAAATTACATTTTGCTTTCCTAAACATAATATTCTCACATCATATCATATTCTTAGAGATCATTCAAGAAATTCCTTGTCCCGCTTTGCTAAGGACTAGTATCTTGCAACTGGATCGGGTACTTGACATCCAATCCAGCCATATATAAGGTTTTGACATTTCAAAATATTTTTACTTTTTCAAACTTCTATATATATATATATAAGCATAGAATTGACAATTAATTCGATCATGATTCAATAATTTATTATTGTTGAGAATAGGTCATTAGAAGTGAAAGGCCATGTTATTTCACTAAATTCATCTACAGATGATGAAGAGTCACATTATGAAGTAAGTGAATACCGAGAAAGAAAAATAAATTATCTAAAATATGAACATACATAATCGTGATGGAGGAAACATTCATGTATGTATTCACAATTATGACGTTTGGCATTAACACTGAATCTTTCAGTTCGAAAAAGTGTAGTTGTACAAGATATTAAATCAGTTTGCAATGCTAGTTACAAAAATAAAAACAGTAGACGAAGCCGAACATATATACATATGTATTCTCTTCTTTAGTGGCAATAGTAACACTTGAAAAATGTTTACAAGAAAATTGATAGACTTCATTAGATAATTGACATATATTTAGCGAAAATTGCATCGCAAGGAGACAGAAAGAATCGTCAACTCTCATATCGCCTCGTTGTCGACAACCTTTCCTTGTTACGTATAAATGCAAAACAACTGAACGTATAAAAAGATGAACGTCGCAAACACACACACAAGAAAAACATCATCTTTTACATTTTGAATTGAAATACATGAAATCATGCAAAAATTTTATCCTTAAAAATTTTCACACACGATATTCATGTATATTTACAAAAAAAAAACATGATTTTTACATGTGAGTACCCAAATATTTATTGCATGTATTTGCAAAATGATCAGAGCTTCGTTTGAATTTATTATGTCAATAGAAAAGAAAGTTTTTACAAAAATAAATGTCAGCTGACATACAAGTCTGAACTATATTATAGAGTGCGTCCTGTCCAAAGGAAAAAAAAAAGAAAATTCCATACTTCAGTGTATTCTAAGAGTATGTCAAATTTTATTCTCTAGAATCTTTGTCATATTTCAAGTGTACTATCAACATATATCAAGAGCATATAAGTTAGAATTCATTTTATATAAGTCTATCTAGCAATAAAGATCAAATACTCCAGCACCTTGGAATACGATGAAAAGAATTTTCACCTTTTACTATGAATGCTATCACATACAAGACTTTATTTTTTTGTCATACACATGATTATTTTATTTCCCATTAAAAAATTTCCTTACACTAAAATAATCACACTATATTTGATTCAAAAAATTTGTTCATTCTTTCTCATTTTTCAAGTTATTATTAGTCATATGTATGCATCTTTCATTATTATTCCAATGGTTATGATATTCTCTAGTTTTAATTGTACTACCCATATAAATAGAACAATGAGTGGTAGAGACATTCATCTAATAAAACAATAGTAAGTATATTCAAATCTTATATCAAAAAAAGACTGCCATGTGTATTTCGTTTTTATTAAAAGCATTCAAACGTTTCCTTGCATGCATATACTGAACTTTAATAGTATATCTTTGCATACAACAATATAATGCGTGTAAACGCGAATATGCTTCACTTTGTGACACAACCACATGTATGCCATGTGACAGTAGATAGTGCATATAAATTTAAGATTTCGTACGCAGTTACATGCCGTTTTTTTTTATCATTCACATGTGACTACCTTATTGAATAATAAAGGTGAATATGCATCTTATTCAAGTGTGAATTGATAGATCAAAATAAAAAATGTCTTCGTCGTATGAAAACATATTAGTATCGAAAGATAGAAGAAAAAAATTATGGTTTCAAACGAAAATCAACCAGTTATTTTATTGAAAAATTATATGGGAAAATAAATGAAGAAATAGAAATCAACGGATTTTTTTCAAATTGTCAGTTATTTATCGTATTATCCTAATAAATTATTTACACATGGTATGTTGCCAAAGCATTTTATATGATATGCTGAATTTATTTCAAATATTTCTAAAAATTATTTGTTTTTATTGCCATTCATAATCATGATTTTAACTTGTGATTCATTAACATTACGAAAAAAAGAAAAAAAAAAACATTTGTTTCTTCCTCTTGTAACGAGTATCATAATCAAAGGAAGGGAAGAAACGGAGCGTCACAGATGAATGATTTGGTAATGTGAAAATTTGTTAAAAAACGACAAAAGTAGTCCATTCACACAAAAAACCTGTTCGGGACGATCCATTTGCTTTGTTCTTGCCAAACAAAAAGATATGGCGCAACTTGAATCATTGGCAAATGAATTACTACTTGATTTATTTGAATTTTTCGATACTGCTAATCTTCTTCAAGCATTTTATGGACTAAATTCACGTTTCAACGAACTACTTTACTCTCATTTTCAAGTTCATCAACTCGATTTAAAGTCCGTATCAAAAGAAACTTTTGATATTATTTCTAAAAAATTTCTACCATTAATTATTAATCAAATTATTTCACTTCATCTTTCATCTGATGAAACACCAGGTTTACCTGAGTTATTTCTGTCTCGTGGTTTTACACTCAATCGATTTATTTGTTTACAATCTCTTTCATTATATAATATCAATCATCTTGATACACTGTATAAAATAATATATCAATGTCGATATCTTTCTCATCTTACTCATCTTAATATAATTAAATATGATGATGATGATGAAGATAAACAAGAAAATACTCTTGATTTATTAAATAACATTTGGAGTTTATTAACACTTACACATTGTAATTTAAATGGTCTTCAAATAGATGAAATATGGTTATTGAGTATTTCAATAATTTCATTATCTATTGAATATCTTTCAATCGAAAATATTCCATGTAATTTAAATTCTTTATCTCATCTATTTAAATTTACACCTTATCTTCAACAATTATGTGTAACTGTATATTCTTATTCTAGAAATGATCATTTAACAAATATTATTCATTCAATAAAATCATTAAAAATTTGTTTTGGTGGTTCATATCAATCAATGAATAATCTATTAGAAAATATGCCTAATCTATCTTGTTTAATTGTTACAACATTACAAATTTATTTAGATGGTAATATATGGCAACAATTTATTTCTAATTATTTATCTAAAATTAAAATCTTTCAATTAAAAATGGAGCTAGAATTTCGAGATAATAATGATAGCATCGAAAATATTATTGATAAATTACTTATATCATTTCGAACTTCATTTTGGTTAGAAGAACATCAATGGTATGTTCGATGTCATTGGAATCCATCAGATCCATATAAATGGATTACACTTTATACATTACCTTATAATTTTGATACATTTGATTATTCAAATAAATCATGTACGAAATCAACTTGTTATGATGAAAGACAATATTGGTTATATGATCGTGTAAAAATCTATGGTCATGGAAGTATTGAAAATAATTTTTTAGATAATTTTAGTCTTTTACGTGCTCGTTTTCGTAATATACATCATCTTCAAATAAATCTTTCATTTGATGATACATTTTGGTTACGTTTTCCATCATTAAATCATTTAAAATCCCTTCATGTATATATTTATAAATATTCAGGTTATTGTCAATTACAAACAATATTTAATCAAGCACCTTGTCTTTATTCATTAAAAATTCAATCATTTATTGATTCATCTATAAAATTATTTGAATTAACAAGTAAATCTATTCGACGAATTGATTTAATTAATACATTATATGATCGATCAATATATTATACAAGAGAAAATTGTTTTATAATAATGAATTCAATACTTGGAAAACAATGTGAAATTCTTTCAATATGTATTAAATATCGAACAAATATTCTTGATCTTATTCAACAAATGTCAAATCTCCGATTATTAATTTTTGAATGTGAAGATGATAAAGAAATTTTTCGAAATTTTTCATCGTCAAAAAATGAACTTGTTCAATGGTTAGAATATCGTTTATCATCAACACATATTATTACAAAACATCCAAAACAACAATCTCTTATTCGAGTTTGGATCAATCGAGAAATGAAAAATATACTTCCATTGAATAGTTGTAGCTTGAGAACGAAACACAGAAATAGACTATCTAATGTTTTAACATCATTTCGACAATATTTTAATAAGACGATGACAAACTAAATCTAAATATTTATTTAATTTGTACAAAGACTCTTCAAATTATATGATTTTATATAATCAAATTTTTTGATTTTCTTTGTAAACAAAAAAAAATAGCTGTTGCATAGCTTTATGAATGCAATATATAAATGACATTTGTTTTTCGAGAAATTTAAAGTGATTGATTTAATGTTTTCTGTAGAATACAATAATAAAAGAAAAACAAATTACAACATACAAATAATTATATGAGTCTATATGTAAAAAAAAAAAATAAACACATTTCCATCAACTGTTCGCATAAAGATACCCGAAACCATTAGTTTTGCTTCACAAACTCTCAATACATTGATCAAAATACTATTAAAATCGAATGTCTTCTATATCTTAAAATAATAAAAATGTAGTGTTGAAAACAGAGCAAAATCTTTTTTTTTTTGATTTGTATAACAATGTTAAGCATATTCTAAAACATTTTCATTACAATTTGAATGATATTCTATGAAAGTTCATATCGTTATTATATTTGATTGCAAACCTTATATCTATAGTGGCTAGTTACAATATATTTACTGCTTCCTTATTGCATTTCTGAAGATTTAAATAGAAGAAAGGTGATGATATCCTATGTCGTCGATTTTTCATCAAAACCGCCGGTTCCAAGCGGTTCCTGTTCGTTTATCGATTTTTTTTATAATTTTCCTTCTGAATTAATATTTTTAGTCTTGAAAAAATCGATTGCAACTCAAAAAAGTCTGGATAATTATGCAACAGTGAAATTCTATCCGATGGCGCGAATGATCTTTGTATTAGTTAAGTTATCTCGCGAATAACTATTTTTATAGCGCTATCTTTAATAAAAACCTAAACTCGAAAATCAAGGAAATATAGCAGATGTGGCTAGTACCGACGGCGTCAGCGTGTTTGCTCGTAGAGAAGGGGATGTTTTCAACATATTTCTAACGATTTTTAAAGAGTTTAAAAATATTAACACACTATGATATGCGAAAAAATTTAGCTAACGAACCGCGGTTAACCGATGATTTTCCGGTGGTTTAAGCGACATGGGATATGTCCTACGACACATAAGATAAAACAATCTTTCTGTGATTAGTAACAGCAACTACATTATCTTTCACATGCTAATCCTACAGGGATTGTGCTAATAGCTTTCTTTCAAGTTTCTGTTGATTTATTGAAATGTGAACGATGTACTCTATTGATGTCTATTGATAAAGTAATGTATTAAGGTATACAAGTGGGTTCAAATCTTTTAGAATAATAATCGAAAAAGATTTGCACTCAATAATTTTAATCTTATACGTGCTCAATATTCTAATTACTTCGATATCGAAATTGAACTTCGATTTCATTATAGGTTTTACTCAGATAATGCACCTCGAAACCAATTAACTTCAGTTGATCTGATTTTTGTTTATTGTCGTTTACGAACATTATTTATTGAAATTTTATTATCGTGAAAAATTAATAAGAGAATCAATTTTTGGATCAACAAATTCATTGATACGTCTAGAATTCTGTAATCAATTCGGAAATATTCTGTATGAGATTTTTTTAATTGCATCAAGTTATTTCTTGTGTAGTTAACTTAGAATACTGGATAGCAATGAACTGTATCAAAGCTCTCAGTGGGTTGAACTGAGCCTATAGAAGTTTGTTTATGAGCACGATCCGTATCAGATAAAGAGTATTTTAACAATAAGAACACAGCCAAGTCCTTCAAATTAATGTCATAAGTTGAATTGATGTAAAAGCATAGATCTTATTCACCAAATGTATCTAATTAGTATAAGATGATTATTTAATATGAAGATGATGTGATGAACTAAACAAATGTTGTTAGTCATAAACAGCTATTGAAATTATCGGATAATTTTAAAATTATTTTCCATCATAATTTTCCTTTATCACAAACCAATATGTCGAATGGTAATTTTTTCTACGGTTTCCATCAAAATGAAAGTAAATTTCTACTATTTAAGCGTGAGAGACAAGAAAATTATATTTACAATTCTTCTCCATTTTCTTCTTCATAATATTTTTTTATATCATTGTTTATTTTATTGTGAATAAATCTTAGAATTTTTATTTCTTATTTAACGGAAGATAATCAATAAACACTTAAAATTTTATTAATCAAAGTTTCTTAAATAAAATAATTGAATAAATGAAAAGACACCTACAATCGATGTTTTCTTTGTGAACTACAACACAAAAAATACGATCATAATAAAGTTCAAATCATTTCGAAGAGAAAAACTATGCTTTATAAGTTATTCTTAAATAAGGCAAGCCTTGTCCATATCGATACACAATATATTCATCATCATTTGGTTTACCAGCAAATTGTCCATGTATTGAATGAAAACCTTTTGGTGCAGACATTAATTCACTATTTAATTCGTTAAGTATCGATTCATTCCCCAAAACGACTTTGTTGTAATACATAATACGTGTCTGATCGATTGAATTGGCTTCCGTGTATCTATGTGAAACACTTGGATTATCAGCAAAATAAGCACCATGACCTAATAAAACATGAAAATTACAAGGAAAACATGATAGTTAAAAATATTTTCTGATATATTTTACCCCATTTTCCTTTTCCAAA